AGAAAACGCTATCTCAAGTTCCCTACAGTGAACTGTTTTCTCAATCTAAATCCATAGCCTCACAAGAATCCATTACCATACCACTAACTATAAACCCTACACCACCAAATATAATTTCTCACACAGTCACTCATTGACAACAACTACACCAAACAAAATTACCACATCTATTGTTGTCTCTACATCTGACCAATCTATCAATGACCCACTAACTAATGTTCAAAACTATCCTCCCCCTCCCCCTCAAAACTAGGGATGGCAATGAATAGGGTACTATATTTCCTGTCCCCATACTCGTGCGAGTAAATCTTTAATCACCATCCCTATACCTATTGGATAGTTATATACACAAACCCGTACCTTTACTTTGGTTATGTATAAAATTAATAAATCAATGAAAAATATTAATTAAAAAATTGTTACAACTAAATTGAAAATTCTCTCTTAAATTATCCAAACACAACATTAAATCATTCAAACATAAGTCATAACTCATAATCAAACAACATTAGAAACATAAAGATCCAAATATAAATTCTAATCATTTAAAAATTATCAATAATAAGAGTCAAAATAAGTCAACTAGGCTAGACTTTAATTTGTCATTTTTACACATTATAAACCTTTTTTCTTAAGGTCTGACTTGACCTGTTTAACATTCTACTTAGCCTAAATGCCTATTTACATAACTTGTTTTATACAAGACATATAGACTTATAGGCCCAAGTAGACCAACAAACCTTGTTCATCACCAAACTTATTCATCTTTTTTTTTTTGCACTGAGGTTCAAACTTGGGACCTCTGGTATATAATTTACCAAAAAAAAAGACCTTTGATATACTACCCCAACTACTCCCACTAAGACAACATAATGGTTCTCATAAAGACTAATAAAGATGCTCCCACAAGTTATTGTATTAAAAAAATTTATAAAAAAAAAATGGTCTTCTCTATAAATTCAAAATTTTAAATTTACTGACAGAGTAGATGCTGCAAATATAGAGAAATTTTAGAAATTCACAGTCACTAGTTAAAATGATCGATTTCCTATAACTGAAAAATACATAGTGCAAGACAAAATAAATATATAAATGTAAAAAGTTAGAGAATATTTGCGGCAGTAGCCTTATTGTCTTATAATAATAGTAAAACTTTTAAAATTCAGAATTAAACTTTTATTTAAAATCTTATTATTAGTAATTATATATATTAAATATAAATATCACACACACATGCATATATTACACATTATATATTAATCTCATTATCATAAGATATTGTGCAAACATTTATCTCTCTAGTTTAAATAGTACTTTGGTATAATATCTAAAGAAACTAAAAAACATGATGAGACTAAGGATTAAACTAACTAAAATAATAATTAAAAATTAAAAATACAAATAAAAAGATACAACAACTCTAATTGAATACATAAACTATTGCAATTTAACATTTTAAGTTAAGAATTTACATTATAATATTAGATGTTTTTATGTAATTAATTATCTATGATTTATAAATAAAAGTGCGAGGTGGCAATGTGGGTACTATAGTACTCGTCCCACTCACCCCCATCCCTACCCCATCCTGAATTTTGCGAGTAAATCCCCACCCCATCACCATCCCCATTTATGCAGGTTTTTACCCTCACCATTGAGGGTACTTTCTGCGGGTACCCATAGGGTCCAAGTACATTTTCCATCCCTACTCAACACTCATCCGATGCAGACATGAGCAAATACAAGCATCATTAAACCTAGACTTCACCCAACTCTTCTCCAAACCCATCTCGAGCCAAAAGCTACCAAACAAGCCTTATCCAATTCCACGTGGTTCACTGCAATGAAAGAAGAATATAATGCTCTCTTACACAATGGAACTTGGTCTCTGGTTACTCTACCACCTAATCGCATTGCCATAGGGTGTAAATGGGTGTTTAGAATTAAAGAAAATCCTGACATTACTGCCCAAAAATATAAAGCCAGACTTGTTGAAAAAGGATTCCATCAACGATATGGCTTATGATTGCAATGAAACCTTATCTCCGATTATTAAACCTATGATTGTTTGGATAAACAATCCCTTTTTGATGGCAATCTTGAAAAAGTCTATATGACTCAATCGCAAGGCTTTGAATCCTCAGATAGGCGTCTTGTGTGTAAACTTCTTTAGGTCATCTATGGTGCAAACATGCCCCACACGCTTGGTTTGACAAGCTAAAGGCTACTTTGATATGATTTCAGTTCAACCCAACAAGTGTGACCCATCTTTGTTTGTGTATTCTTATGACAGTAGTGTCATCTATATTTTGGTCTATGTAGATGGCATCATCATCACTGGAAACAATTCTACTATTCTTCATAGCGTAATATCACAAATTAACTCTATGTTTTCTCTGAAAGATCTTGGAGACCTTGTCTATTTTCTGGGAATAGAAGTCAAACCTCAATATGATGGCTCCATTGTTATGACTTAAAAAGCAAATATATCCCGGATCTTTTGAATCGAATAGGTATGGAAGGGTCTAAACCCATTAATTGTCCTATGATCCGTGGTTGCAAATTGTCAAAAACAGGTTCTGAGGTATTTCTTGATGCTACTCTCTATAGGTTAGTGGTGGGTTGTGCATTATAATGTGCTATGACTAGACAAAAAATAAGTCTTTCAAGAAACAAGGTCTACTAATTCATGTCTTGACCTTTAGAAAACGCTATCTCAAGGGTACAATTACATGGGATTTACATCTCCAACCTGCTCCTTCAAACTCTTCCTTTAACATTCAAGCCTACTGCGATGCTGATTGGACATCAAATTTAGATGATAGAAGACCCACTTCAAAGGCCTCTATTTTCCTTGGACCGAATTTGGTTTCATAGTGGTCAAAAAGCAAACTATTGTTGCAAGATCAAGCACAGAAGCGTAGTATCAAAGCTTAGCTCTTGTCACTACAGAAGTCACTTGGATTCAAACTCTACTTTCTGTGCTCAAAGTTCTTCACTCTACTCTTGTCATCTTTTGTGGTAACATGAGTACAATTGCTCTTGCACAACCTATTCTCCATGCTCGAACTAAACATATGGAGCTAGATTTATTTTTTGTTCAGGGAAAAGTGGTTGCTAAACTTCCTTAAGTGATTCATGTTTCTTCTATTCATCCATGTGCAGATGTCCTCACTAATTCGTCAAGGTTTTGTATTCTTAGATCCAAGATCAAAGTAATATTTTCATCACCCTAATTGAGCTTGCAGGGGATATCAGAGTATATATTTACTCAAGTTTATTTCTTTTCTAATATGTACAACAACAGTACAGGCTTTGTTTTCTGTTTTTTAAACTCTTGTAATCGATAGATGTCAACTTAGTTTTATTTTGAAGCTTCGTGAGAAGATATTATGACTTTTATTTTTATCTCTATAATCTGATTGTAATTGTAATGTAATTAGGTTATTAATACAATATTCATTCTTCAAGAATCTATCTTTTGTTATCTCTCTCTCTTTCTAATTTTGTCAAACCCTAATACTCTAAAATATTCTAAGATATAAAAAATGAAATCATCATATATTAAGTTGAAGCAATGTTGTCAAAATTGGATCGTGGGAAGCAGAAAATCAGCTATAACAAATAGCATTGTGGGCAAAAAGCAAAAGCCACAAAGAGCGGCTAAAATTAGTAAGTGTGTGTGTGAGTGTGTGTGTTAAGTTATATGCAAATAAAAGTTAGACAAACATTGACATAATATTAACTCAAGTTAAATTGTTCAATACAGAATATAATTAAAAAAAGCTTGAAACATCAAGAAGAACATCTATTCATTTTCTTCCTTGCCTTCACCAGACCCCAATGTAATCATCATTCTCATGTCTAAGTGGGGAATGTCTTTGCCTATGGATAAGGGGGTAAAGCTCTTTGATGCCCCTCCATATTTTTTGCATCTCCACCTATTAGCCGACTCTCCGACAGTTTTCCTTTTGGCTTCTATGCTTGTCTGGTAAGCAACAAAAATAATGAGAGGTATATCATTCAACTTCTCCTTCCGAGTCATCAAAATCAATGCCTCCTAACCTAGGTTGTCAATAGCAGTCAAAGCGGCATGGAGCACAGTGACATCATTGCAACTGGGGTGAATGTGAATCGGCAGCTTGGGGTGGCCTCAATCGTGAGTTTCGGGGTGATTTGCGTCTGCTACCCTAATGGACATTGAAGCAAATCCCGGTTTGCGTCATCTTTCACACCAATCCCCCATTCAAACAATGCATAAGTTTCTTGTTTCTTTTGGGTGGCTCAAAAGTTTCTTTTCTTACCAAAATATATTAAAATATTTATCAATTACTGGGTAACAATGCTGCCACAAAAATAAATGTCCCCAGAGTAAGAGGAAACAGGAAAGGCAAAAAATCACAATAGACCATATTAATATACCTTCTCCTGGATAGGAATTTTGTCATCAAAAATTTGTGCTGCATCTTCAGGACTTAGGTGTCTCTGCCTCTCTGTTTTTGACCTTTCCATCTTAAACTTACTTGAACTTGGCTCCGATTTATCTCCATGTAATATGTCAGTAGGCAATGTGGTCACTTTAGACAACCCCTTGCTAGGAATGCCTAAAGAAGTTCCAAAAATAGGAGCATTATGCACATACTTATAAGCTGAGCAATAAAATTTAACAAATAGTTATGAAATAAAAGATACAAGGAAAGGAGATGTATTGTGCACGAAATCAAAATGCTAATAAATCCTTGGTACAGTAAACTTTAAGAAGTCAAGAGGATTTCTTTGTTGAATATATAAAGATGTTGACAATCTTGGATCAACTAATGTGTTTTCTTCATATCTCTCGTTTCAGCTTCTCGTAGGTTTTTCTAGGAGGATAACCTCCCTCTTCTTTATGTCTTTCTTTTTCTTATCAAAAGAAGTTTTCTCTCTAGGATATACTGAGAGAGAACAGAATAATATGAATGAGAGTAGCAACAATTATCAAGTTTTCTTGCAGAAGAAATGTCAACATAAGAGGAGAGAAAATTTTAGAATTATGCCAATTAAGGTATCTCTATCAAATACGTTCAAAATCCTATGACACCATCACACACAAAAAGAAAAAGTATGCATATAATGCAATCATTAAAATATCTCTTTACATATAAAGGATATTGTACAAATATTAAATAATGAGAATGGAATGAGCTGCTATCAGTTTCAACAATTTGTTTTTGATACAGCATCATGGTTGTGTCTTTAGCATTTTAATGGCCATGCAATATTTCGTTTATCTCCTTTCCTTGCCCATCTTAGGAATGAACCCTTATGTTGGATATTTGGAAGCCACACAAGCTCGTTGAAATCCATGTTTTTTTTACAAAGGAAGCAATAAAGAAAGATCTCCAAAATTCATCCATATTTCCATAGAGTTCTTGAGCAATAATACTCTGTTATGTTTATCATGAAATCTGGAACCAGTTCAAGCACCAGTATGCATGCTGAGGAGCTCCAATTCTTGGAGCTATGAGGAAATTTTTGTGCTGTGCAAGAAACGAGGAGGGTTCATCATGTAGGCACCCAGAATGGAGGGATTGACGGAATAGTCAAAACTTTGGAGAACTTTGTGGCCCAAGTCACATATTTCACCCCATAGTTGAAATAATTACTATCTCATCATAAAATCAACTTTCTTACTTTGTTTATGGTCAAATAGAGACCACATTCTGGCATTCTGCAAGCCCTAGTTCAGGGAAAACATTGTTTAGGTTATTCAGAAGGCCTTGCAGAGATCACCTTATGCATGCCTTAACCACTAACCAGAACGGAACTACATATTCTTCCATTAATCGATACCTCTAACAGCCAAATTTTACTTATCCTCCAACTTCCCTAAACTAAATTCCGATTATTAGCCACATCATGTTAGAATCAGATCACCACACCCCGTAGCCATGACAAATTACGCGACATTGTGGGTTCAAAATTCAAATACAATATTATTATCTCCGCGCCCGATGAAATCTGGTCCCATATTTTCGGATCACTCTATTTCCCAAACAAATAACTCAGAACAGCAAACAGCTCAACTTTCAAAGAAAAAACAGAATCACTCGCTCCCACCTTCACCAAAAAAAAAAAAAAAATTGAACCCCATGACTTAATTTTCTGCTGATCGTTACAACTTCTCTTTCTCAATTCGATTAACTACTGTTTATCCAAGCAAAACAGAAGCTGAATGGAAGAACAAAAGGATCGAGAGAGTGAGAGAGAGAGAGAGAGAGAAATGTAGTAACCTGAAGCCGAAGAGCTACTTGTACCATTGGCAACAGTGCAAGCACTATCCTCCTCCATGTCCTTGCCGTTTCCGGGATCCCTCGAACTGGAAGAATAGTTCCGGCGATCTTCCGGCAAATCCGCCATTGCCGGTGACCTAGATCCGCCGCAAGCACGGTTTCAGAGGAATTGAAGAATTGAAAAGAAATAAGAGAGCAAATGGTGCTAACTGCAAATGCTGCCTGAGCTGTCGCAAAATTCGAACCGAACTTGCGATAGGGGGAGAGGAGAGGAGAGGACACGTGTGCACGACACGGTGTGGGATAGATGGATGGGTACAACGCAACGAATATTTTTCATTTTTTTAAGTTCCCGACTTTACAGGCTGCGGCATCGATTCCATTTTGGATATTTTTTTGGGACAAATTACGAGAAAAAGGGAAACAAGTCGGCAGCGTTGGAAATACTTTGACTTTGAATAAAAAAAATTCATTATTATTTATTTTAATTATTAATTATTAATATTCGTATATTTGATTATTTTTTAATTTAGATTCTGTTATTTTTTTTGTTTATTATTGTTAACGAGACTCATCAGAAGTTATTCGGGTGGCATATTTTATTTTCAAAATGTTTTACTTAATTATTAGTTAATTAAATCGCGGAAATAATTGAGAGGACTACAATTTTTAATAAAATCAAAGTTTAACAATAAATTTTACAGAATAAATCGGTAAAATAAAAATAACTAATGAATATAAATAAATAAAAATGGTGATTTGAGATCTTTACAAAAATTGTCCGAAACTAAAAGGTTCAAATAACAAATGATTAAAAAAAAATTAAATTAGAGTTTACTCTTTATTCTCAATTCTTGATGTTATACTATGATAGCAAAATCTATAAATAAAATAAAATTAAGAAGTATAAGTTTCATCTCCCACATATTCACCAACATTAGTCAATATCACTTGTAAATCCAAAAACAAAGCTAACAACACAAAATGATAAATGGGTGAGAATACATGTCTCACATTTTAATGTAAAAAAGTTTGAAAGTAATGAGTCAACTTGGTCAAAGATAAGGTTATCTTGGAAAAATCATTTATAAACCTCTTACATCATCCTACTAAATAGAAAACTTTTGATCCCACTTGCAAAAGTTATAACTTCTCAGCTAAGAACAACTTCTATCATAGACGGGTCAATATTATATCACCTTTAAAATTCACATGGCTTGAGAAAGTAATTGTTGTGACTAAAGATGAAACTAGAGAAAGATGATATGATGCTTTGGATTTTCATATAATAATGCAATTGATGACATCATGTCAAGGGACAAGTCCTAAAGGATTCAAGATGAGTGGGTTTAAGTTTGAAGAAAGAAGGACCAAACTCTTATTAAACTTTAGGTAACTATTAATAGCTTACTTGTAGACACCTAATTTTTTTCGGGGGCATGCAAATAAGGAAATGGACTTCCAACATGACGAAGGAGCTCTCAAAGGCCTGAAACAACACTAGAGAAGACCAACAAGACATCCAGAGATCCAAAAAAGCAAGTACCAAGATTAGTAGCCTAGAACAGGCCGTTCCAAAACTGAAATGGGTCGTTCCAAACTTACAATATGGCTTGTAACCCTAGGTTAGAATGCCCCATTATGACCTAGTCTGTTATAGATAAAATTCAAATTCGAAATGGGTCATTTCACCTTGAGAACAGGCTATTCCAAATTCAAATTTTACACATAACAGAAAAGTTTAGAATGGCCTATTTCGGAATTGGAATGGCCCGTTCTAGTGGATTTTCGTGTCTATAAATGGTAGACTTGTGCATACTGCTAGGGATCGAAAATTTTGAGATCTGATTAGTCTCCTTAAAATCTAGCATCTCTCTCTTATTATATTTCTTAAGATTTGGTAAGGCATTGTGAAGTGTGAAAAGGTAGCCAAAAAGCACCTTAAATCTGCTACATTAAGAAGAATCTATAAAAGCTCGTTTTAAGAGGTACATTTTCTATTATCTATTTTTCTGTTATCAACAAAAACAATCATGTAGACATTTAGGGCAAATCGTGCAAATATGTAAATAGTTATAAATAAAAGGGAACCTAATATTTAAATTATTGTTCACAATCGCGTTAATTTCATCATAGGGTACTGATTTAGGACATAGTAGGGTGCCTAACACCTTCCATACACGTAATTGACCCCCGAATCCAATTCTGGTTATAAAGGTTGTTTTGGAATTTTAAAACTCTTTCCTTCTTTTTTTGATATTTTGAATAAAATATCGATGGTGACTCCATGAACTCATTTCAAGACCTTCGGTTAGGGATTAGTTTGGTATCCGGGCATTCCTTAATTGAGATTTTCAAAAAGGGAAGTCCAAACCATCTATGAGTAAGATAGAAATTTTTTAGGTTCCGACATATGGCGACTCCATTAGGGATGCTTAAAAAGGTTTAAGCCCAAATATATGATGTAGCTAGTGAAACAAAAACAATAATTCCAATATCTGGTTCCCTTTACTTTGCTTGTTTTTCATATATTTACTTTAATGGCTTTATATCTGCTTGTTTGAAATAAACAATTATACACAAACCCTTACACACAACAATCCCTTTTATACCCGAGGCATGAGTGCGTAAACATAGGTGTCGTAACCTGAAAAATTATGATCTTACGACCAGTGGTTTGGACTACCTTTTTGAAAAATCTAATTAATTAAGGAATTCCCGGAGACCAGACTAAGCCCTAATTAATGGTTTTGAATGTAGGTTCATGGAGTCGCCACCAATGATTTACTCAAAACATTGGAAAAAGAAAAGATTTTTGAAAATCCAATAAAGGCCTTCATAGCCAGTATTGGGTTTGTGGGTCAGTTACGTGTAAGGAAGATATTAATCACCCCTACAGTGTCCTAAATCGGTACCCTATGACGAAATTAATGGCATAAGAATTAATAGTTTAACTATCAGATCACCTTTATTGATGTTTATTTATATACATGAAACTTAAATTACACGAATTACCCTAAGACGTCTACATGGTTATTCCTTTTATTTAGAACGATATTTATTAAAATGAGGAAATAGAGGAGAGAGAAGATTATTGATTGAAATACCTCTTAATCGAGAGTTATTGGACCTTCAAATGAGGAGATCTCTTAGGTGCTTTTTGGCTACCTTTCACACTACAGTATGCCTCACAAATCTCAAGAAATATAAGGAGAGAGAGAGAGAGAATTGTCGAGTTATTTAGGTCTTTCTCCACGAAACTTTACAGTCCCGGAGTAGTGCCTGATGCTGCTACTTATGGACGTCAAGACTGACTAGAATGACCCGTTTCGGTTTTGGAACAGCCCGTTGTGGGTCAGTTTGTTAAGGCCAAAATTTGAATATGGAACAGCCCCTTCTATAATGGGAATGGCCCATTTCAAATTTGAATTTTGCTCCTAACAAATCATGTTGAAACGACCCATTCTAGATTGGTAACGGCTCATTCCGGACCTTATAACTTGTTTTTATTGGGCCTTGGGCCCTCTAGTGTCATGTCCCTTTGGCTCTAAAGTCGTTGTTGGGTTTTTGGGTGCTCATTTTCTTCATAATAGAAGCACATTTCTTTGTTTGCGGGTTCGGATGAAATTAGGTGTCTACAATAGGGAGTGGTTGACGTATGACCGACCCAAGTATGGCCTTAGAGCTTGTGAGCCTTGTCAAAAATCACACTCAAAGTGATAACCAGTTACTCTAGCCTGAAATACTACATCAAACCTTAGAGTTTGCCAAGTGACGACGATAGAGGTACTGGGTTCCTATAATGGAGGCACCTTAGGAGCCTTTAAAGATTAGTGACGATTACTAGAACCTTCTTAGACCAACACTTTCTTTGACAAGGACCACGGACCATGGATTCGAACCGATCATGGATATGCATCGTTTGAGGATTTGTTTGTTGCATTGTTTGTTAAACTATTGTTATGTTTAGAAAGTTCCCCTAGTGCAAAGGAAACACTAAAAAAATGATTAAAAAAATGCATCATCATGAGGGAAAACCCAGTATGAAAATAAAATCTTAGGAAACATGCATCACAGAATTAAAAAAAAAAGAAGGAGAATCATCTAGGATCACTGAGAGATCTCTAGTTAGTGTAACCTTTGTCATATCGTAAAACATTATGAAAAGGGACACCAAAGGAGTGGTCATCAAGTCTTTGCTAGAGACCTCCTTCATGCATCTTCATTCACTCACCTAATAAAAAAAAATTCCCCTAGAAGGTGGCTTTCCGACGCTCCGAGAATATGAGGACCCACAAAGGAGGGATTATGGAAGCTCTAGAAGAGAGAAATCACGTGCTTGCTAAGGAGCTCACGCAGCTTAAACAGCAAATGGCCTGTATATTCGAGTCCATGGTTATGATGCAGCACGATAACGATCACACTAGAGGTTATTTGAGGGCTCTAGAAGAGAGGCTCAGGGTTGTTAAGGAGCACTTCCTTGATAAAAAGGAAGCTACCAAGAGGTGTTTAATGCAAGACATCCCGTCCGCGCACAAATCCATAAGACCCCTATTGTTGAACATGCGCTAGCCGAAAAAGATCTATGAAAAGAAGAAAAGGGATGGAACCAACGCTACAACCTCTCCCGTTATTCCTCAGAATACAAGAACAACACCAAGGGGGAAAGGAATTTTGACATGATTCCTACAAGCTATGCAGAGTTGTTCCCTTAGTTGCTAGAGGCCTCAATGTTGGTGAAGATTGTACCATTGAAGAAGTTAGAGCCTCCTTACCCATAATGGTATAAACCTGAAGAAACTTACGATAATCATTCTGGAACAGTAGGGCACTCATTGAAAATTGCAAGGCCTTGAAGCGTCACGTATAGGAGCTTATCGACACTAGATGGCTCAAGTTTGGAGTCAATGCACCTAACATCGCCGAATGACCGAGATAGTTAGCAATCTTGGAACGGTTCATTGGAAAGCTATCAAAGGGGTCCTCTAGGAAAACAAAAAAAAAAACTTTTTTCTTTTTCTTAGTTTCAACTTGTGATCTGTGCCCACGATCACAAGTTCATACAAAATAAGGGCTTGTATAAGTTTTACATCGCCAATAATACACGTCATTTCTTTAACTCCCAGATTATTCTTTTTCTCCCTCTTCCATGCATTCAATTCTAAATACAACACAAAATAAAGGACAAACAAACATGACCGAGGATAACAAAATTAATCAAATTCCAAACATCCAGGATGTGTAACTAAGTCTAAATAAAGAGAAATTTTTAGACACGCAAAAATTATTTGGAGAAGAAATCGAAACGATATAGCCTCATTATAAAAAGGGGATAATAACTCCCTTCCCTATAAATCCAAAAAGAATAAGACAACTGAGAAAATCGAG